CTTCCCGAGCTTAGGTGGGACTGGCAGTAGCCATAGGAGAATTAACGAATGCCCAGTGGGCTTGCTCCGGACCGATGACTTGATGTTCCCGATGGTAAGATAGATTGGCCAGGCTTTCTTGTCCCCACTAAAATTTGTCAAATGTGTGCCATCTGACGCGCATATAATTGGTACCACAGTCGACCCCTCCGGTGAGGTATTCTGTCCAGAAAGCATTAGCGACTGCCTCTAGAGCACTTGTGAGGCTTACCAGACCTGCGTCTCCCACCACCAATCTCCCGTATGCATTTCCCCGTACATTCTCTCGCCAGATACATTATGCTCTACCACTAGCGCGTACACCAATGACTCCCGAATGGCCCGTTGGCCTAGAAGATATCGCACAATTACCATTGGATCCCGGTAATAGTAAGGGATTTTCTCTCCCACAATATCCGCCTCCAAATGATGCCAGCTCGCCTTTCCCAATATGTCATTCATTTCGTCCAACCTCTCTATAAAACCTCGCCCAGTCCTGTAGGAGCATTCGCCACTGCTTGACGGAGCGTGTAGAAAGAAACTGTCGATATTTCCTTGTGAGGCCTTCGACAGTATGAAATAACGTGCCATTCTAAACTCGTATGCGGAGTTGAATGGGTGCCACGGGTATCGGAGAAGGTTTTGTGAGCATTCGTCGTAGTCCTCCGAGCGGTAGAGACGCTCCCCAGCACCCTCGTAAATCGTTGTCGCTGCCTCATGCCTATTTGCATCTCCATCTGTCTCTTCCATCATAAAATATGATTCGGATTCCAGATCTGAATTATTATCGGGATCTTGGTCATGATAATTGATACTGTTGCTCTCTGAACTATCCGAGTCATTATGGGCATCTGAATAGGAATCGTGAATGCCTTCCGGGCTGTCGTGAGTGTCATCGGGTGCCTCTTGATCGGGCTCCAGGAGTAAAAATTGGTTTCCCAGCCATTCATCTGCTTCAAATGGATGTGTAGTTCGAAGATGCTTATCGAAGTTCGCGGAGGAGCTGTACCGCTTGCTATAAAAGGGGCAAGACGATTTCATTGAAGTCTCATGATGCTAGCAAAGCACTCCTGAGTGCTCTAAAAATTTGGTTTCTGCCAAGGCCGAGGAGGCTCTTTCCTGCAGGTGCTGCTGCAGAGTGCTCGAATGATTTGATTTGTCAGCCAATGAGGCTCCTCTCACCTGCACCCCGGTCGGCAAGGCTGATTTTCAATACGAGTCTGATGTCATACATCACCAACCTAATACAAACATCAATACCAACACGAAGAAACACCCACCACCCCAATCAGGCGGCCAGTTATGCTATATTCTATCACCCTGAGCATCTGCACTCTCTCCCTGAGCACTCGCGGAGTCTCTTCAGATCGAGACAGTGTTCTCAGCGCCTAATTCAACACTAATATCGACTACGAGCTCAAAGAATACATTCTCTCCGAATCAGCTTCCTAGAGGACAGAGTACCAACACCAACAAGAACACAAACACCAACCTCAACACCAGAATATTATCGACGTCACCATTGGTACCATCAGAGCATCCCCGAGTGCGCCTGGAGCATTTAGATCAACATCATATATTGAAGCAAACATTGAGTACGAGCACCCTCGAGTGCTTCTAGAGCATTCGTGGGTGCTCTCGGAAGCGTGATAAGCTCAAGAAAAAAGCTGATCGTACTCGGTATAAGAGCACCCCTCCCTTCCTTCAAGTTCGTGAGAAGTTCCTAACCACCTTCAAGTTCTCCTCTACCTATCACTTCATGTTTTCCATTGCTTTCAACATTACCTGTTGAAATCTCATCCTTCAAGTTCCTCCGTTTTCAAGCGATTTAACCTTTGCAATCTTTATAGATAAGATGGTATTTCTCTCTCCTAATCCAATTAATTTTAGAACCATACTCACCACAGTGATACATTAACATTATCAGACTCCAAACACTGCTCAGAGCACTCCCGGTAGCTCACAGAACACAAATCAACTTCCCAATAAGAAGCGCTTGCGTGACATAGACGAAGACGATAACAAAAAGACCCACCGAAAAACCAAGAAACACAAATCGTCCCGAAAACATAAGAAACACCGAACTTCCTCAGGTCGCAAATTGTCCCGCAAAACTGTCAAGCCTATCCTGGAGGAGATACCAGAAACACCCCCTAAGCAGTCGCCAGTGCTTTCCGGGTTCACCCCGATCAACAAAAGCCGAAAACAAAACCCTGTACCTCCACCAATCCGGACTGAATGTAACGGGGGTGCTAGGATGATACACGACCGTGACTTGGATCTGACATAGAAAGGGTAAACGGGAAACGATGGATTCATTGGGCTCGTTCGATCGAAAGATGAAGTTTATTTGTTTGATCGTATTTGTAGTCTAAAAACTTAATAACTTTAAGGGGTCGCCTCGCATGTAAAGATTCCATGACTCCCCGAGTTCAAACTGGGGGCAACCGAGTACTTTTATCGAAGTTCCGCCCCTTTTTTCCCGCTTTTTCTCCCTAGACCGTTCATTTTTTCCCTAGTCCAGGGACACCGCGACTTTTTCTATGAGGGGCGAGAGGAGTTGCTGCCACACCTCGGACGAACTTCCGCCCGAGTCAAATCACGCAATCTCTGCCAAGAGCTGGTCGGGATCCTAAGAACTAACGGAAACAACCGACCAGATAGCAATTGCTTATTCAATTTGTTTTAGAACAGATTTGGTGTTTTGTAAAGCGAGGTTTGCTTTTAGTAGCTTGGGTCGTACTCCTACTCCCCCTCAAAGTTGCACCGGACTGAAACAGGAGGGTTCCGGCGGTTCGACGCTACGGGGGTTATTTTTGGGGTCTAAAACGTGTTTATTTTGCAGTGTTTCCTCAACTCCGCAATGCGTTCATTCAACCACCCCAAATGGACCGGAGCATCGTCAGGATCCTTTCTGACGTAGTAAAGCATATTTTCCGAGCATCGGTTGCTAAGTTATTACGCCTCAAAGGTTGACTTCCAAGGTAGGATAACTTATGTTTGGGGTTACCCTTCTTTTTATTTGGCATGCTCATCCTTCTGCTCTAGTTTTGGTCCAGTCCCCTAGCTTGACTTGTAAGACTTCTTGCTTGCCAGGATCCCTACCCTCCATACCAATAGAGGTAGGGGCTCATCTGCCCTTGTCTTCACCCATCGAAGTGGAACAAGTGGTGATTGCCCTAGGGTCGTATGGCTTGACTGGTAGAACAGGTACTTTTGTAACAGCCCTACTGTGGCTCTGTTACACTGAAACCCGGACTCCGCCAAATACTAACCTAGCTGTATCGGACACTGAAGGGATCTTCCCGAGTAACTGGGGAGCAACCCTAACTGATTCCGACTCCTTTCCCGACTTTAGTTCTGAACCCTCTGAACCATACATAAGTGACGATCAAGACCCAGCAACAGGTCCAGCAGCAGGCCCACTAGCAGCAGTCTCCACTGCTTCCTCAGCACGCAGCAGTGCTTCACCAGAGGCCCTTGTACGGACGACCGTACTTAGGGTTAGTGCTACCCCACCAGCACCCGCTAGTGCTCCACAAAAGAACGTTGCCCGGAAGACCATAGTCCCAAGTCAAGTTCTCACTCGGTCCAAGTCTAGTGCAGTCCGCTCAACAGGCCCAGCAACAGGCCGCTCAACAGGCCGCTCAACAGGCCCAGTGTAACGGGGGTGCCTTGAAAGGGCGCCACCGTGACTTCGATCAGGTAGATAGGCAGAAAGGAATTCGACAAGCTATCCTTTCGGCTCGTTCGATGGAAAGATAGAGTTTCATTTGTTTGATCGTTATTTGTAGTCTAGAAACTTAATAACTTTAAGGGGGCTCCTCGCTGGTAAAGACTCGCTGATCCCCCCGAAACCAAGCTGGGGCAACCGAGTTCCTTTATGGAAGTTCGGCGCCCCTTCCTTCATTACCTCTTTCCTTTTTTCACTGGCCGTCCGCCTTTCAAATAATCTGGGGGCACCACCTATTTTCTATCAGGGGGGAGGAGAAGAGTTGCTACCACACCGCGGACGAATTTTCGTCCGAGTCAAATCTCGCAATCCTTGCCAAGAAAAGGGTCGGGATCCTAGGAACTAGAGGAAACAGCCGACCAGACAGCAATTGCTTATTCAGAGTATTTAGAATAGATTTGGGTGTTTTTAAAGCAAAGGTTTGCTTTGGTAGTTTGGGTCGCACTCTTACTCCCCCCAAAGATGCACCGGGCTGAAACAGGAGGGTTCCGGCGGTTCGACGCTCCGGGGGTTATTTTTGGGGGTCTAAAACGTGTTTATTTTGCAGTGTTTCCTCAACTCCGCAATGCGTTCATTCAACCACCCCAAATGGACCGGAGCATCGCCAGGATCCTTTCTGACGTGGTAAAGCATATTTTCCGGGCATCGGCTGCAAAGTTATTGCGCCTCAAAGGTTGAATGCCAAGGTAGGGTAACTTATGTTTGGGGTTACCCTTCCTTATTTGGTCTGCTCGTCCTGCTGCTCTAGTTTTGGTCCAGTGGTCTAGCTTGACTTGTAAGACTTCTTGCTCGCCAGGATCTCTACCCTCTATACCAATAGAGGTAGGGGCTCATCTGCCCTTCTCTTCACCCATCGATGAAGAACCAGCTGCGGTTAACCTAGGGCCGTATGGCTTGACTGGTAGAACAGGTATTTTGTAACAGCCCTACTGTGGCCCTGTTACACCCAGCAGCAACAGGCCCAGCAACAGGCCTCTCAACAGGTCCAGCAGGCTCTACTACTCCCTCACCAGCACCTGTCAGTGCTCCACCGAAGGTTCTTGCACCGAAGACCCCTACATTCAAGCCCCGACGCCCCTCTCGGTTATTTTCTGGTGCAAGCCCGTCCGAACTAATAGACCACCCCTCACCAGTACGACAGAGACGAATTAGACCCGAGCCATCGCCGATTGTCCAAGAGACATCCCCGAGTGTTCAAGAGACATCCCCGAGTATTCAAGAGACATTCCCGAGCTCGACCGCATTCAAGATGACTCAAGCAAGCAAAGCGAAGATGACTTTAGGTCTACTCAACCTACCTAAAGTATACACCAGCATCCGCAACAGCCTAGAGGCGGAAATGCAAAATGTGGGTTGTGTCAATAAAAGCACGTCCGGTATGGCTGCGTTCAATGCCCTATGCCTTTACTTGATGAACTTGCCCTCCCTCAACGGTTTTCTGCCAATTTGGACTGGGGGTGACTCCGATGCCCGTAGAGCACTGGCGAGTGCTCTACAGTGGCTCATCGCAGATCTTGGTATGAAGGATAGGTTATCAAGGGGACAGGGAGACCGTCAGTTCAAAGAGGCTGCCGGTGATAGTGATGATGATGATGACGGCGGTGGTCAGGCAGCCGGAAGACGCTCTCGCAAAGGGAAAGAGCGTGCAGTACCTCCGGAACTCGTGCGACCTTCCATAATGGTTACCGTGGTGGACCCCGATGCTCTAGGGGCATTCTTTATGCTCGTCCCACCACCTACTTATGACTGGAATGATCCCCTGAACGAACCTTCGTTCATCGGAATTTTGACCAAGATAACTTTCCCCGAGCTATGCAACTTGATCCTGAAGCACACCGCACCCGGCAGAGCAGTCAGGACAATCTGGGGGCAATTGAGAATGTCCCCCCGGCAGCTGTTCCTCCCGTTCGGCCGGTGGAGGTACAAATTACCAATTCAGAGGAGCTCGAAGGTTGGTTGAAGAACAGCAATGCCAGGCCTCGGAGGATATTGGCGGTCCTCCACAGAGCAGGCGCGGGTGCTAACCTGGGTGGTGCGGAATCTCCCCCGTTGAACCCGGCTTTCCCTCACGTTGAGGAAGATGATTATAGCATGATCGATATTCCTGCAGAGGATTCGGATTACGAGGAGGGAAAGCACCGGATAAATGCCAAAGGACTGAGGGTATATATGCCTAGAACTGATGCCAGTAATCAAAGGCTAATTCAGACTCTTGTTAGGCGTCGCGATAGACAGCAGGATGCTATCGACGATTTAGACCCCAAATACGTTAGGAAGTATCCTTTGGGTGTCGGGGTTGCTGACCCAAACTTCTTACAGAGGACGATCTGGACACCTGCCGTGATAGTAGCCAAGAGAGCTGCTGACGCACTCGCGGCTGCTGGTGCTGGAGGTGGTGGTGGTGGTGGTGGTGGTGGTGGTGGTGGTGGTCTAGGACCTCCACCGCCTCCGGGTGGACCTCCTCCTCCTCCGGGCGGCGGTGGTGGTGGAGGACCAGCTGGAGGCGGTGGTGGTGGTGGTGGTGGGCCAGCTGGAGGCGGTGGTGATGGTGGTGGTGGGCCAGCTGGAGGCGGTGGTGATGGTGGTGGTGGGCCAGCTGGAGGCGGTGGTGATGGTGGTGGTGGTGATGGTGGTGATGGTGGTGGGCATCATTAGTTCCCTTTGGTATAATCTCTAACTTCCCTTCCTGCGGAATTGTCACTAACCTTTTAATAGTTGTTAGGATTACTCCCTTGGCACTCGCGATAGCTATTGAGGTGCGGTACGATTTGGTGTTTTGGATTTCCCTTTGTCTTGCGAGAGTATATCAATGGATGGGTTATATCGGATAGGATTAGATTAGATTAGATTAGATTAGATTATTCCAGGTAGTAATTGCATTGCTTTTATTTCAAAGTCGAATCAAACTCCTAGATTGCTCTCAGAGCACTCGGTACCGCTTCAGAAAGTGCAGTAAAACGAGTGATGATAAATGATGCGGTTGAGTGCAGAAATTGTGGTAACATAGGATGATCCCTGCCGTAAGAGGATTAGCGGTGCAAATTTTTCTTGATTAGCGGCGCAAATTTTCTCGCCAAGAATTGATTTCTAATCGAAGATATCGCGAGTGCTCCTAGAGCACTGCGGATATTCCTGCCAGTCATCAGAATGGCTCCCACCAAGCGCTCCTCCGGTTCAGCACCTCTTGCCCCAAAGCGCCCACGACTCCCAAAACGACCTGAAGAACATGAAGATTTACTGACTGACGAGTCTGAAATATCTTACCGAACATTGACTCCACTGCCAGCCCGCACTCGGAGTAGTCAATCAACCACCGCCGCTCAAATAACTCGGAAAGGTTTTCTCCGTTCCTCCGAAACCCCCACTGGCAGGAGCAGTCCTAGGAGGGTAGAATTTCATCTCCCCGAGGATCATACTGATAATTTTGAAGCGCAGGAGGAGCCTGAGGCAATTGAGGCGCCAGAGGCAATTGAGGCGCCAGAGGTGGAAGAAATAGTTGATACTAGCTACTCAGACTATGATGATGCTCCGGAGAATGACCACGAGAGCTCTGAGGAGGATGAGGATGAACCGGAGGATGAACCTCAAGCCCCCCCCCCATCTTACACCCAGAAGTCTCAGACTGTCGGAAAGAGACCTCATACAGTTCAGCCGACTACTGCCAGAGCACTGGGCAATGCTCGGAGGAAACCAACTGGCGCGGTAGCGGAGGTCATTGCTTCTTCCAACGTGTCGGTGGACGTGGTACAGGTTCGACTCTATCTCGCTCATTGATGCTTTTTAACATGTAAGTATTAGTGGCTAACGATTCAGAGGGGAACTCGACCGGGCGCGAAAGTAATACGTAAACAAGGTCAAGGGAGAGCAGCACCCACTTCAGCACCCAGCCAGAATGCATCCCAGAGAGCACTCCCGGCATCCCAGAGAGCACCCCCAACACCCTCACAGTCTAGGCCCTCTGCACCTGTTTATGCTCATGAGTATACCTCTTCTACGCGCCATATCGATTTTTCCTCGATGCGCTCTCGATACGGGGAGTCGTCCCCCACTTACCGGACATATCGTTCTTCACCGCCTAGCGAGGTAATTGGCGAGAACTCTGTGAGCAGTCGTCAGATTCCTTCAAGCCAACTTCACGGTCAAGGTAGATCGCGAAGAGTCTACGAAATCGAGTACCTTTCCTCATCTAGGGGGGGGACGAGAGTACTCCGATGCCGGAAAGCGAGGGTATTTTGATTCCGGGAAGCGAGGTTAGTATTCCGGAGGACACTCACGACGTCTTTGAGAACACTGGCGACATTCCTTTGAGCCAATTGACTCAGAGGTCTGTGGTCCCTAACTCTAGGAGTGCAAATGTGCTGTCAGTGCAGGCTCAGAGGATTGAGAGGGAGTGTAGCGTGGTAATCGGGGAGCATACTCTTCTACATGAGCCCTTTCCACCTGCAGCAAGACTTTCGGTACTGGTAGTGAGCATGTGGGCAACTGCTAGTCGCCGAGTGGGGTGTAGAGTAGACCTTGATGAGGTCGTTATTAAACAGGTGAGTGCCCCCAAAAGGATTACGAGTGCTCTGGAAGCATAATTGAGAATGATAGGTCAGAAGTCTGCACTCCCGTGTCCGTTCCCACTTGATGCACGAGGTGAAAGGGCGCCTGGCGGACTCTACGATATACGGGCTTGGAAATTTTGTGGGGCCTGAGGCGAGGGCGGCTCAAGTGGAATACCTTTTGAAGAATGATCGTTTCTTGAGCCCCCAACAGCATTACGAGGTATGATGCCAGTGGATGCCCAGAGAGCACTCGGGATAGCCGGTAACAGATTCTAGACCGACCGACTGCGCTTCCTGGCTCCGGAAATTATCGATATATTGTATTTTAAATACTTCGATGGGGTAAGAATGCGAGGGGTTAGGGATCCCGAATTTCTAGAGCGGATAACCCCTACCCTTATTTGCCTGATATCGACGGCGATCTGGCACGGCATTCGGGCGTGGTCAACAGGGAGTTACGTGAAGCCTGATAATTTTCAGTCGCAGAATGAGAGTGTTGTGAGTAAGTATGGCCCGATGCCCTCATTGATATGGCGAGTGCCTTGGGAGCAATGACGGATGCTCCTAGGGCTATACGGGATTGCCAAGCTGACATCCAAACACGAGTAGAAACGTTCAACAGGATGAGCAAAACTTGGAAGGGGAGAAGTAAACAGAACCAGGAGGCAACCTTGGAGGTAATCAAAGATAACCTTCGAGAAAAGGTATGATACTTCTAGATGCCGGTAATGCGAGTGGTATTCTAAATGCTAACCCTAATAGATACGAGATAAAAAAGGGGTAACGATTGAGATAATACCGGAGGAGGGTTTTAGTGAGGACTATGAAGCTCTGGCTGCCGATCTTGCCGCATTCCGAGATGCTCGGAGAAGACCCACGAGTGCTCCAGGAGGTCGGGTTGATTCCGACAGCACCCAGGACGAAGTGATTAATGCCCGACTTCGCGGCATTGACACCGAAGAGGAGGGGGAGGAGGAAGAAGAAGAGCCGGAATTACCTGTAGCGGGGGATTACGAAGGGGGGGGGAGGAGGATGTGTAGAACAATCACGAGTGCTGAGAGAGATAGTGGGGGATTTCTTCTGATTCGTATATTGTATCAGGGTTAGTTAGGGTGTTAAATGGCGTATTGTATTTAGTATTAGGCGGAGGATCACGGTGTTGAATACACCAATTCTCAAAGTGCAGTCGCGAGTGCTCTGGAGACAGTAGAGATCGTCGTGCGAGTGATGTTTTTGTAATCTCATGGGGGAATTGTGAATACCAGAGGCCGGAACGGCGGAGAGGTGTATGCCTAGAGAGAACGGGGCGCCGACATGTAGGAATCGGTACGTCGGGCATGAGCCAGATTTCAAAGCACCCCATCCGGCAACGTCAGGGGGAGTCAGGGCAATCATTCTATCCCCAGAGCCCGCTGGAGCAGTGAAGAGTGCTCCAGGAGCAGTCAGGATATCCAACCGTGCAACTGGCGTTCTCTGGCGGGTAGAGTGACGTCCTAGTTACACCGGGCGCTATTATTTAGTGTCGGGGCCCGTTGTGCGGACTAGTGTGCGCTGGGGCGGAATAATGTGCGCCAGACCTCGCCAGGAGCACTGGCGGTATCTCTGGAGAGGTAGTTTACCTACCGAGCGCCCTGAGCGCCCTGAGCGCCCCGGGCGTCTGGCGAAGGCTACAGGTTTGCTGATGGATCCGCCCCCGTATTAGCCCTCTTTGATGCTGGGCTAGCCACCACGGTTGAGACCAATGCCTCCAATCTCGCCAAATCTAGCATACTGTCCCAATTCCACTGAGATGACAATAAGTGCCATCCAGGAGTCTTTACTCCAAAAAAGGAAGTCGCAAGCCGAACGGAGTTATGAAGTTCACGACAAGGAGTTAGGTGCCATTGTGTCATGCTTCAACGAGCGAAGTCATCCAGGAGGAACCTCCAGCCGGAGGGAAACCACGGTGGAAAAAACCAGAACCAGAACCAGCGGGTAATTGTGGAGGAGATGGAATAGTCCCCCCGGTTGTTGGCGCTCCCAACCCAGGAGAGAACTCAGATAGTTCAGATTCGGAGCCTGAGGATGGTGACAGGAGAGGATGGTGGAGATACCTCAGGAAGATGCTGGAGAAGCAGCAGGAGAGAGAGCCCTGGCCTCCATAGCCCAGTTCATGAGACCTCCGGCCCCCCCTCACACTCCTCCGCTGCCTCCAGTGGCCGAGAACCAAAGACACCTCCCCCCGGCCAAGTTCAATGGCAAAGCAAACAATGTGCGGACCTTCATCGGGCAATGTGAGAATTTCTTCTCCATTGAAAGCCAGTCCTTTACCTCTGAAGAGGTCAGGATCCATTGTGCTGGCAACCTGATGGATGGAGATGCTCCGGTCAAGTAGTATGAGGCATATCATAACTCCATTGACCAAGCTTCTGCCAACCGAATAGCTGGGATGCCTGTGGTGTACGACGAGAGATGGAAGCGCTGGGATTCCTTGGTGGATGCCTTCACCGTAGCCTTTGGCGAAGCCATCTCTAGGGATGATGCGGTAGCCCAATGGAATGGCCTCACCCACACAGCCAAGGGGGAATAGACTCCTTCCTGAATAGCATTATTCATCTGATGTGGAAGACTGGCTAAAAGGGTCAGTTAGTGAATGATAAGATCCTCAGTTCCCTCCTTCCGGACCTAGGCATGAGCTGTGCCCTCTTTACCCCCGTTGCACCTCTGGGCTTCCTCCAGCCTGGGATTGACAAGGGTTATCCCCGGGTTCCCACAGAGCAAAAAAGGCACTGAAACCGAGACAAGCTCGATGGGCGGCCAAACTCGCGGAGTTTGACTTCAAAGTTGTATACCGCCCTGGGAAACTAAAACGCCAAAGCAGACATCTTGTCGCGGCGTTGGGACCACGCCCTTAAAGAGGGGGGTAAAACTCATCAAGATCCTGGAATTCACTTGTTTAAGCCAGGACAACTTATAATGGGTCCTGTCCAACACCCGATCGTTATGATCAGCTCAGCATGGCAAGATCAGCCCAAGTCTGCAAAACTCACACCGGTGCTCCTGGATGAAATCCGGGCTCGAGCAGCCTTAGATCCAGGAACCTTTCCTTGAGAAAAGCCATTGAGAACA